CCTCTGGCCTGGAGGTGGCGCTGCGTCTTCTCTAGCTGGTAAGTAATGAGCTCCTGGATGGCATCTTTCTCATCTTTGTCTACAAACTCCTGAATGGCCTTCCCCATGCCCTGCTCAGTCAGCAGGGACAGCTGCACTGTCTGTGGAGATATGCAGACACACTTTTCAAGAGAATACACAGTAGAAGGGGAAATGAAAATAACTGTTATGACACCCTCTATGTATGTGAATGTGCAATAAACCCATGTGTGTACAGTACCTTTTCTGCTGTCTCAAAGTACTGTTTAACAAGGTCTTCCACTCTCAGCCCCTCAGCTGCTGTGGTTTTTAGTATCTTGCTGTAGTCAACATTGACCTCATCTAAAAAGCACAAATGGACAATTATGTACATCAACCTATGGAGTATACTGTTGGTCCGTAGCTGCGTATTTATGCCGTGCCACACCTTTGATGTCCTCCTTTTGCTCACGGTGTCTGACAAAGTGAATGATGTCTTTTGGGTTGGCCACGCGGTCCACAAACCTCTGACTGAAGCGAGAAGTGTTAAACGTTTCAAAACCTCCACTATAATCCACCTGGGGAAGGCAACGAGGTTGATCAATTTCAAGGAAGTGGGAATATGAAGATGTGTGCAGGTTCATGTGTGTTCATTGTACCCTCAGGCGAATAAGAGGTTTCTCTGGGGTGAGTGGACAGCCGAGTCTTTCTCTTTCAGCCTCTTCTAACATCTCTGTGACCTACAGAAGGAAAGAAAGAAAAATATTTAAGGTGACGGATGAGGGGCGAGAAGAATAAGAGACAACTGAGCAGCAAGTATTAGACTGGCTCTGTATGTTTGATGGTGACTTCAGGATTTACCTTTGCGTAACACAAGTTCTCCACCTTCTTTGCGACCTGGGGTGTATCAGGTGAGAAGAGGTCTTCATAGTCACCCAGCACCACATCTTGGGTGAAGAACTGACGCACAGTCTTTAGGGGGATCTTTTGCAGGTTCATTTTACGACCCTTCACCTTGAGCAGCCCTATGTGCCTAGACACACACAAGTCAAATGGTTTGACTACTTTGTCACTTTAAAACACACTCAGAATATGGTGACTGTGTGTGTGTGTGTGTGTGTGTGTGTGTGTGTGTGGAGGGCTTGAATTTCAGTGCGGCATTGTGGGTACTGTTCATAATTACAGTGATTCCAGCAAATGTAGCTCTTACAATGAGGGTAATTCTTGCACACATTTACAGCAACGTTAAACAGTAGGTGTGCTTCAAAACCCGACCGGCACGGTGCCGTCTGTCCCAGATGGGCTGGTCTCCATTCATTTGAACTATGCTACTTAACAAGCTGCTTGTCGAGTGGCTATAACAACAACACTCGGCGTGCCTTCTCCCCCTCTGTACAAAGCTACACATCCCCTCTGCTGTTGCAGGATCTCTCACTGGCATATATGGTCAGGTTTTAATTATGTGAACATAAAACCATGTAAACATGGACCGCTGGTTAACGTAAATCTACATCAACCAAAGTGGAACCTGCCGATAAACACCGGAACCTGAAAGGACTAGCGCAAACAGCAGTGCCAGCAGAGACAACAAATTACTGCAATGGTTCAGAGCAGAGTGATGAAATGCACTTTCATGTAAGAACAGGACTAGGTAAAACCTGCAGTTAAGCTTACAGGTATAATCCCTCCCAAAGTGTATAATTCCCCCCTGTGTGAAGCATTTAAGGGGGGAATTCCTCCCCATTTTGAACAATGAATTTCAGGCCCTGGTATATGTGTATTTATTTGTACTTCTTGGTAGCCTCTCCAGGGGACAGGGAGGTGGCTACAGAGCTGCCAGGCTGTATCACGTAGAAGAGCTGTTGCTCATTTCTCGTTGGTGTTATCAAACACTCGTGCTCGTGACCCCACACCACCAAGTCAAGAAAGTCATCCAAGAACTGCTCAGGAATGTAGTTAGTGGGGCCATGCTTACTCCTAGAAGAAACACACACACAGAAAATGCATTACATAAACAAGATGCAGGGTGAAATTGAAAAAAATATAGCTGTTTAAATCCTGAAATGACAAACTTGCTTCATGAAGTACTGCAGTAAGACTTAACCAATCCCAGGGCGTGGAGAACATGTCAACCAGTTATTCACCCTGTTAAAAAACACCACCATAACTCCACTTGCAACATACATCTTCTGTTCTGGACCAAAAGCCAAATAGGTCATAATTTGTCCGTTTTCCCTGCTGTTCTGCATTTTATACCTGTTTTAATATAGCCAGGAAGCATTGATAACCAGTGCTGCAAACAGACCATGGGGTTTGTGAATGCTGCTCTGTGCACTTGTGCACATGTGCCAGCAGAGGGCGTTCTGCAGTCTGCTTGCGTGAACACCTTTTAAAGCTTGTTCCCTGTATGAACACTACCCTGTGCAGCCACAAAATCATAAGTGTGCATCTGTTTACTGGTTTTTACTGATAACTGGTGAAATGTGAGGAAATAAAGTTTCTTTTTAAAATCAACTTTATTCATGGACACTTTCTCTCCCATTTCTAATGATCATTGTGTCTCTAAGGGAAAGGAAAAATACAGTAATAAATACAAAGGATGCTTTTTTTCCCTCAGGTTTTCCCCAAGTTGACTGGCATAAACAGATGTACACACGGTTTGTCACCAAACATCTTGGTGATCATTTACACACCGGGGATTAAACAGCAGTCAGTGCCACAAACCTCAGGGTAATGAAATACAGACATACAGTATGACAGTCTGACATGCTTTCTATTCTGCACATTTAATTGCTTTGACACTGGTTATTATATGACTACAGCTGTGGACTATGCAGTGGTTTAGACATACAACAACATATTGTACACATACATGTACACACCTGTTCTGGTGAATGGTGAAAAGGTTAAACCATTCTTCTTGGTCTTCTCTGGGACGAAGCATGGTTACCTGGTTGTTGACAAACATCCTGTACAAGCGCTCATCTGGGATCGACCCTACACGCACACATAAAATTTTAACTGAAACAAGTCCTATTTTTATTAACTCTAAAAGAACACAGAGAAAGATTACACAAAACATAAACTTACCAAGACCATACAAAGCCAGTTTGGTGTTGCCTTTCTGCATGAGGATGGGACTAATCTCAATCCTCTCCACTGACTGTGAGTGGCCAAAGTGATTGACAAGGCCAGAAACACTTAGCAGATCCAGCGCACATAAACCTTCAGCCTTTGGGTCAAAAAGACATTGCACATAAACAAACAAATACACATGCCCACACAAATGCACATGGTTGCACATTAGTGTCTGGTACATTAATTTCACTTATACCGGAAGCCACTCACCCCAGTTGGGTCATCGTGGTTGCCATGAATGCTGAACACAGGAATAGAGATGTTCAGATTTTCATCCTGATAGTTAACCCAGGGGAACCTACAACACATTGACACATATATAACAACATTATTACAACGGTCACTCAACAAGAACAGCGTTAGTAAGAATGATCGCTCTGACAGAGAAACTGACTGAGTAGTGTTGAAGTTGACGGCCTGGTCGCTGAGGATGTTGAAGCGTATAGGTGAGTCTCCCATACAGTATTGTCTCAGCATAGTGATGCAGCTGTGGAGGCATTTACGTGACGGCTTGTTATCATGGAACAAATCTCCACCCAGCAGAATGAAATCTACCTGCAAGCAGACAAATAAGCATAAAGACAGCAAGGATCTTTGTGTCGTCCACTGAAGAACAAAGATGAATCTAATCCTCACTTTAAACAGGGTATACATGTATTTGATACACTGTTTTTCACATGTGGAGAATCACAATGAAAATAAGCCTTTGGGCTTTTTTGTGTCTTTATCCTCAGTGATTTCAACTTTCTAACAAGTGTATGTTGCATCAAATCAAGAAAAAAAAAACACATACACATGTACAGTATGAATTTTCTAACAAGTGTATGTTGCATCAAATAAAAAAAAAAATACACATACACATCTACAGTATGAACTTCTATGTACCTGATTTGTCTTGGCACATTTCAGGATCTCGTTTAGCGTGGTATAAGAGTCACTGCCACGGATGGCATCCTTCTCAAGGTAACCAAGGTGAACATCTGTAGCAATCAGGATTTTAAAGGTATCCTCCTCATCTCTAGAAAAACAGTACACAGAAACACTAGTCATTAGAAAGAAATACATCTCAGACGATATTATTCTGCAGGCACATATACCTGTGCATTAAAATATACTGTAAACTCCTGAGTATAAACAATATTCATAAGGAAATTAGAGAACATCTGCTAGTAACATCAACCACCCTTTCACAATAAATCTGGTAGGAATTTATAATAATAATTTAACAGACTCACAAGGTGTTGTCCGAGGACATTATGTAGAAAAATGAGGACTCCTGCTCCTGCAGAAAATAATGTTATTACATAAGATTACATAAGTGTTTTTCAAAAATTCAAAGATGCAACAAATGCAAATACATGTCAGGGTCAGTGAAAAATACTTTATGAAAAGTGACGTTAACAACCTTCTTTTATATACAGCCAGTGGTAACAACGCACTGCATTATAGTGTGTGATAGCTAACAGTTAACGTTAACTAAATAGTCGCTTAGCTTTCACTTATGCTAGGTGGTCGTCATACATCCAAAATAAAAACCTGTGTTTACGATGCGTTAACTGTTACAAACTGGCTCAGTCTAGCTGCAGTTAATATGCTTATATAACTTAGCTGTTTCTGTGTATGCTGTTAAGCTAACCTTATAACTTGGACAAATTGCTTTCCACCCACGTTCGATGAAAACTTGTCATAAAATTCCCGGCAACTCTTGCAACCCCTCTCCCCACCCCTCACAAATGGCTCAGCGTAATTGTAGTTCTATC